GTGTGTGTGTGTGTGTGTGTGTGTGTGTGGGTGAGAGAGAGAGAGAAAGAAAGAGGAAAACCAGAGAAAAGAGGGCGGGCTCAGACTCAGGCAGTGCACACACACCCTCTCTGCACAGCCCACAGTCTGGTTGAGTCAGGCAAGTGGCAGCATGTGAGAGTATGTGCTTGGAGTCCGCCTGAGCCCGGGAGACTGATGCAAGGATTTCCCTCTTTTTCTCTTGAAGAGGACACTTGCTGCTTGTGCTTTTRGTAACCACAGGGAATTAGGTGGGACCTTCACAGGAAAACCAGGGAGCTTAAAGGAAGGTAAGGAGATACTTTCTTTCTTTTTCTTTTTTGGCTTTGAAACAAAGCTGTGTTGAGGTTAAACGTAAAATGTCTCATCTTGTTTTTTCCCTCTTCTTTTACRTTATTTCTGATTAATCTGATTCCTGGTGTGTATGTGAGAATTAACAGAATGACACAAACTTGAGGAGTCCAAATTTSTGTGTCTGAGTTCTTCAAGAGTGTGAGATTTTAATATTTTGTACATTAAAGGGTCACATAACCTCTGCTGCCTTTTCTCTCTTTCCTGCTCTTTATAGATAAATAAAACACTGCACATAAAAGAGCCTTTGAAATGTTACACTCAGATGGCCTTCTTGGGGGACTGTGTGTGTTGTTGAAAGGAGTTTATAAATCATTAATGCTCTCATCTGGGACTTTGCCTAGTTTCCGGTAAGACTTAAGTCAGTGATAACAGCACACCTTTGGAGATCTGAACTGGCAGCAACTGGCAATCCCTGCCACACCGAGCAAACTGCGAAGCCAGAGTGACAGTATGCCTTTTCCAAACACAAAACCCAGTCTTGAAAACATATCCATCCGATAAAGAGAGATTACTGTCAGTCTTGGACCAGAAAAGCGGCCTTAGCAGCAATTACGGCCCATCAGAGGGTTGTTAAAGAGTTGCATGTACTTTGATATTGTTGAAAGGAAAAAAAAAACTCTGCTTGTGCTTCAAAGGTTCAAAAATCAAAAGGGAGGAAGATTTAGATCTGACAAATAGATGACTTGGTGTGTGCAGAAATTTCAAAGGGATAAACGAAATGAAAGAAGAGCAGTAGAATGCTGCCACCGAGATGTTAGAAGTCCAAGGAGGCTACAGAGTTTTACTGAAAACTTGGTGATCAGCAACAGCAGACAAGACGAAAAAAAAACAACAAAAAAACCTGAACGAGGGCGAACTTTTAAACTGAAAGAATCACAGAAGTGTTTGCTCAGTTGATATTAAAGATGTATCTTCTGTCTGTCACTTGAGTCTGTGTATGCATTATAGGAAATGCTGCAGGGTCGTGCACATCTCTGCAAAACTAGACTGATGAATCAAAGGGACTTATATCTTAACTTTTTATTTTGAAAAGGAAGAAAAAAACTTTAATTATTGATTTGGTCTGTTTAGAAAACCCACATTGTTTCAGGCTTTTCTGCAAATTTGGATTGAGAAGAGGTGCTGCATGTAGAATATTTGCTTTATTCGGAATAATTTGGCAGACKTTCGATGAGGAAACCTTTAGTTTTCCAGTCAATTAGAGCCCCTTCTAGCTCTTRCAGTGCCTGGTTTAAAGGGGACATATCATACAAAATCCACCTTTTTTAACTGTTAAATGCATTTCGTTGTGTACTCGGAGTCTCCAGTCCAGAAAATTAAATTTAGCTTCTCCTGGTGTTGCATAGATGCCTTTATATTCTGTTTGGGTCATATTTTTCAACATGTTCAGTTTTCTTTATTTTCTATGATGTTTTTCTGAACTACTACGTCACAGAATTTGTGACGGAGCTGCTCAATAAGGTCTGGACTTACCAACTATTTCATCATCTTCATTCTCCTCTGGCTCTGGGTCAGACTTTGGATCCAACATGTGAGGCTGGATGGACAAGTCTTCCCTTGTTGATATATTTTAATTAATTAGTAAATTTTAAAAATTTCTGCGCCGCTATACAGTCGTAAACCCCTCCATGAAATTAGAATGGACCGCTCTGGAATCTGAAAGGGGCGGGGTGCAAAGTGCCTCTATTGAATTTAAAGAGACAGCCTCAAAACGAGTTGATCTGAGACACACCTCAGAAAAGGGGTGAAAAGGGGGCTTGTGGAGTTACAATAAGGAGGAATTCAGACCAAAGCATTGCAGTTCCACTTTATATAAACCCCAAATGAAGGATTTAAATGTGAAAAAGATGATTTAAAATCATTATATGTCTCCTTTAAAGTCCTTACAGCATCCAAATCCACCAGAATTCCTTTACCAGACTATAAAAATACCTTGGATTCAGTAGCCAACGCTCGTCTGCTCAGATCYACCTCAGACCCTCTGCCCTGTGTCGTTTTGTTTCATCAACATGGTCTTTCTTTTCACAACTGGCTGCACCAGGTACTTGAGTACTGGCAGGGCGTGTTGAGGAAGCGATTCATGAAAGGATTTACAGTGACAGATAAAAACAGTCGGTGTGTGTGTGTGTGTGTGTGTGTGTGTGTGTGTGTGTGTGTGGACTCCGACTTTTTGTCAACACTGCCAAATACTTTGCGAATCCCAGAGGCAGCGAAAGCTTGTCTTATCTCACACACTGTTACCCGTCCAGGTTTTTTGCAGATGTGTGTCCACTCATCGGTGTGTATTAGGGGCGAATATGTGTGTGTAATAATCCTCACAACCATTGTGTACAGTTAGTTAATAGTGCAAGTGTGAAGAGGGGGGATGGGACTTGAGTTAAGTCTTSCTGGTGTGCAGTGTGTATGCATTTTTACACACTTCTCCCACCTATAGCACAGATACTGTCCTGTTTAACTCAAGTAACTTCTTRTAATGGTCAAACACTCAAGTCTACAGGGAACACATTTAGCTTTGAGGTTGATTGATACACTATAGTATCAGTCAGCTAATTATTTATGTCGATTTTAGCTGTTTTTTAATTTAATTTTTATTAATAATCAGCCACGCCTGAGCATATTTACATGAAAAGTTGGGCAAATGTGGGCAGCAAAATGTTGATACGGTTCACGACACCCTTTTGTAGAKGTGCTTCCTGCAATGTGATGACTTTTCTCAGCAAGGATTTGTTTTAGAGTAACACCAACAAACCTTAAAGGAAGTAGAATGTATCACGCTAACCTTTAAAATACCAGTTACGAGAATAAAAAAAAACATTACACTTAAAACTGAAAGTAATGCAGTTATGAATGTATAAACAATAGGCCCTATTTCCCCCCTAAATCCAAAATAATAATAATGTGACATTTAACTCAGCTGACATAAAACATTGCCTTGTCTCATTCAACTCTCATTTCTCAAAAATCAAAAACATTTTGACAACATTTCTGCAAGAGGAAGAGATTTTTTGGTCCTAATTGGCAGATGGTTGTTGTTCCTCACATTGTGATCACATTAAACAGAAGTAAACATGTGTACACCACAGAATGAATACTGAAGATAGTCTGTAATCTAAATACTGTAACGTCTGCTCCTTAAAGGAGACACGACGTGCTTTTAAATCCTTCTTGTTCACATTCAAATCCTTCAGTTGGGGGTCTATATAAGTGGAACTGCAATGATTTGGTCTGAATTCCTCCTTATTGTAACTCCACAAGCCCCTCTATCACCCCCAATCTGAGGTGTGTCTCAAAGAAACTCGTTTTGATGCTGTCTCTTTGCTGTATAATAATCCAATATGCAAAATGAGAATGATGAGCATTCTCATCATAAATAACCAGAGCCTCACAGCTTTAAGCAAGTAGGTTCTTGTGACAAACGACAAGTAACAACACATAAGCTGTACTTTGATGAGCATGTGACAGGAATATTAAAAGGCTTGYTCAATTAATTTGAAAGGGATGATCTTATTTCCTTCTTTATCTTTAYGTGTCCTCTCATTTTCTAAAAGTTGCCCCCCTCTGATGCTTCCTCCACCCCCCCACCCCCTCCTCAGTAGTGCACTCATTTCTGCTGTTAAGCAAATGTGAGGCTTAGGCAATCCCCGGAGCAATTGGGCTGTTTAAATGTTTGTGTTTGACTGTGTGCCTGTGTAAATGTGTGTTTGTGTATATGAGCGTGTGTGTGTGTCTTCTTCTCTTCCACCCACCCTCATTTCTTTGCTACTGTCACTYGCACGTCCAGCAGACAAATGTTGTTGAAGTCTGTTTTGGGAAAACCCTGACAGAACTGACAGCTGAGGTTTGGTGAGGCGCTGAAAACATTTATTTCCCCCCACCCTCCACTCTGTTTTCATAAAATATGATTAGTTAAGGGGCAGAGGAAAATCCCAGTGCAGCGTGGGTTATAAAATAAGCTACGCGGTTAGTGTTTATGCAAAACAAAACGAACTTTTAGTCAAGGATTTTTCATGAGCTTTGAAAATTTCCTTAATATTACAAAAATAGAAGGAAAACACTTCCGTAAACCGGTTGCTTGTAACATCTTGGAGCCAACGATGAGTCAAGGAAACCGTTTGATTTAGGAGGAACTGGAGGCTCCTTTAATTTATGATTGAACATTTGGCTTGATGCAGGACCAGGCAAGCTGCATGAGTCAGTGAACGTAACGTCACGCTCACGTCTTCTCTCATGTGCAGCCTTTTACAATGCCACTCRGCTGGTTGAACAGGTCTATGAGAGRTTTCAGCTGGAAACATCAGGGGAAGGTGTATGTGCCTGATGAGAGGAGGAAAGATGATAAAAAAAGGACAACAGTTGCCTGTCTAAGAGYTTGAGAAGCAAGAAGGGATTCCACTAATTTGCAAAGGGGTCCAGACGAAGGGGGAGTGTCTCTSCGAGCTGACATGAGCTGGCATGTGCCCTCGTTCATTTCCTTCCTTTTGTCTGTTTTGTGTCTGCTGATGAATCGGGACTTTGCTCCTTCCTTCCTTCGCTCCCACCCTCGTTCGCTCTTGCCTCTTTCTGTCGCTCTATCATTATTTCTTCTCATCCCCTCTTGGGYGTGACAGCTTTACCATCCATGTCTTGTCCGCCTATTATCTCTGATCATTGTTACGYTCGTGCCAACACATCAGCTCTGGCTGTCAGCTGACAATGAGGAAAAGCTGTGTGCAAAAGGTTACATCTTCGTATTTATTTATTTTTTGTCCATGGTGCGAAACAAAAAAAGCATTAAAACTGAGCACTTGTAATAGAGTATAATGAATGATGAAAATCAGGACCAGTGGTAAACATGGGTGCTGGAAGTTCAGGTGCTAAGAGGTCATTGACTCAAGCCCCACCCACATTTTGCCAAAATCTTTGTTTAAATCCCCTTTTCTCCACTCAGTTAGATACA